GGGGGGGGGGGGGGGGACAACTCTAGTCGCTTCTTGGTAGCTACTTTTTCTTGGGTATTTCTTGATTGTAACTCAGTTATATAGACGACCACCTCTCTTATGTTTACCCATCTCTTTCTCCATCCAATGAGGAATAAGGGTTACTTGTCCAAGATGTGGGGTCTCTCTTAGACTGGATTGTCCATTGGATGATTGTCTCCTATATAGTACAATTAAGTACAGTACAGTACAATACAGTACAGTACAATACAGTACAGTACAATACAGTACAGTACAATACAGTACAGTACAGTACAGTACAGTACACACACCGTAGCCTAGCCTACCTATCGTAAACCCCCGTATTGTCATTCTTTGTGCCCCAATTAGGTAGGGAATTTGGGAAACCTTGACCTGGAACTGGAACTGGAACTGGACCTAGATTCTAGGGTTCGTCTGATGTTGAATATTTATATGGAAATGAGGAAATGAATGGGTAGGCGGTATGTGGTACAACAAGCATATCTGCTCCACTTTTGTTTCCTAGAAGCTTAAAATGGAGATTCTTTTTAAGGTATACCTCTCAAGGTCTCCAAGAAAAACTCGGAGGTCGACTGTTATATTGAGATTTGACCTGTGCGTTATTTCACAAATAACTTCCCTTCTGGAATCTACTCCCAAAATCCGCGGCTTTGGCTAACATGTCCTTCTTCGCGACACGACTTACTTGTCCACCTAACGCCATATCCTTCTCCCGATCGAAACCCCTCTTACTAGGATCATCTTCCTCTTCCTTCTGTCCTCCCTCCCTCTGTCTCTTTTCCATGAGACTGGAGCCCCGGTTCTTCGCATTGTATTCTCTGATCCTTCGTTCCGTCTCGATATCCTCTTTGCTCTCCACTCTTGTCCTTGAAGCTTTCGAAGTTGAATTAAGTGATATCTCTGTACGTCCTAGGACCTCGTCCTGTAAACGTTTCCGTTTCTCCTCTGGGGTTTCGGTCCAGAGGGCTGAAATCCCGCCGCCCTTTTCGGCGGGAGCTTTTGCGCCTTTCCCAGAGGCAAACTTGCGGTTCTTTAGTTTAGTGGGGTCGACTCGCGAGGTCCAGTCTGAGTCTGAGGGGGGTGCGAGCATCCAGTCATCTCTTTTTGGTTTTACTGGGAGAGCTGCGCGCGCGGCTTCTTGTTCTTTCTCGAGATGGAGGGCGTGGAGATACTCAGATTCGGCTGCTGGGCCGGGTGCAGGGGGAAGAGAGGGGCCGTAGTCATCGTCTGAGGAGGAATCGTCGTCGTTTGCGGGTTGGGGAGGTCGTTCGGAGAGAGCTCCTGGAGGCCGGGCGGGTCCCAGCATTCGTCGTTTTACGAAAGGACTAGGAGCTTTTGCGCTTTTTGGAATGGGCACAGAGGGACCGATGCCATCTTCTGAGATATCTTCGAGGTCTACTGCGTCTGGTTTTGTTGTTGGGGGGAGAGTTGGTCCGACTGGTCCTCTTGTAGGTAATGCTGGACTTTTAACTTGCGTAGTTGGCAGAGTCGGTCCTTGAGACTTTTTGGAAGGTAGGGATGGACCGCAGTCATCATCTGAGCTATCGTTGATATCGAGCTCGTCGGGGTTCGCGGCTGGTGGCATTGCAGGTGCTAGAACTCGTTTCTCTGGTGGGGCTGCTTGCATTTTATGTGGTGGGGAATTAGGTCCTTCAGCATCGTCGATTGAGCGCTTGCGCTTTGCGAGATGGGGAGGGAGCTCGGGGCCTACGGAAGGCATTGTGCTTGGTTGTACGAGTATCGGTGTTGAGGTATGGTGTTGTGTGTGGATCTCTAGTGGAAAGGTTGAAGATAGCGTTGCGCTGTAGATGAGAATAGACCCCTGCAAGGCGTGCAGGGAGCCTGCCGTGATCCGTGATTCGCGTCAAGGTGTTGGATGAGGCTGTGTCTGTTTCTTGACACCAGCAAGGCTGCCCTTTGAAGAAGTACCCTCTTATCTTCACACTTCCATGGATCTTTGAGGAGAGTGAAGGGGATCTTGAGATATATTGGGTTTCTCAATACCAGGGCTATTACTGGTTGTAAGCGAGTCAACTTCTTCACCACCAACGACAAGCTACCCAGGCACCCAGGTACATCAGCCATTACAAAACTTCACAGTTACCCCACGGAGGTCATTTGGAACCCACAGATTGACATTTGGGTTGGCTTGCCTTTTCTTAAAGAAAGGTGCTGAGATTTGGCACTTTCGTGACCATACGGACTTCGGCGCATCGACCTAAATGAGCAGTGGAACCATGACCTATTCTCGATGAGCTCCTCTTCTGCAGATAGCGATAGTGGTGGTGAGGAGGATACGATTAATGGGGATGATAATGGGACAAGGCAAGATGGCTTTAATGTAGAGGAAAGCGAGGATGGGAGCCATGCAGAGGGAGAACGGATCAGACAGCTGTTGGAGGAGGAAAGAGAGAACCCAGCAACACCACTACAAATTACAAACGGAGTCAATAGATACAAGGCCAACAGAATCGCAGATAGTGCTTCAGAGGATGGATCGTTGGATGCTTTACCAAGGAGGGCTCAGAGCCCGATCGAATCCGTCACGTCAATACCAGATGATTCCCCATCTGTTCAGGTACGCCATTTTGGCTAGCTTTTAGAGTAGCCCAACTGATTGTACTCGTAGGGTTCAATATTATCTTCTCCGGCGGGAAGTAGTATATTGCCTTCAATGGCATCAAGACCCGGACTTGAAAGTCCAACCCCGTCCTTCCGACCATTCGATAGACGATTTCAATCTCGCCTATCGAGCTCTACACTTTCCATACCACGTCCTGCTTCTCCCACTCCTGCATACCTCAAGAATCATAACAGGCAAAGTTCTATAAGCAGCCAAATACCACCTGATTCTGGGGACACGGATACCCCATCCCCACCGTGGGAAGTAATTAGATGGACCAAACTCAAGAAAATAAATGGCCAGGCATTTTCGGAACTAGGTAAACGTAATTTTGGTGTACCGACCTGTATATCAGTCTCTGCTTCGATTGTCTTGGGCACATCGAAAGGAATAATCTTAATTTTCGACTATCACCAAAATCTCAAATCCATAATAGGGCTTGGAACTAAAGGTAGGTCTTGGGGGATGTTACATCATGCTTAGTTTACTGACTGGTATAGCAATTGAATCTGGAGCTATTACTTCACTTGCCATCTCGGCTGATCATTTGGTGGTAGCTGGGGGTCATGCCAATGGCAGTATCTTCATATGGGAGGTTGCGAAAACTGCCCGTCCTTTTCTTCATATCCCGAGCCTAGAACCTGGCCAGATGATCAATCGAACTGTCGATGGCCATATCCCAGATGTTCCTATAAGACATTTGGGGTTCCTTGGAACTCGACACACTGCACTCGTTTCTGCCGATGATCGTGGAATGGCCTTTTCACATCTTGCTACGAGAGGAATGGGAGCCGTCGGACGGACTGTTAGGACGACCAGAATATTGGGTCGATACCCCAACGATGTATCTACAACCGGGAAACCTCGAAAGCCAAGTACTGTGCTCGCATTCTCGCCACTCCCTCTTGGAAATGTGGAAAGAGGCACTGATACTTTTGGACTGACAGCGATGCTCACGCCGTACCTATTGGTAATTGTTTCTACAACGCCAATAGCCCAAACACAGCATAAAGCTGCGCGACCAAAGGAGGTCATTGCCCATAGTACAATGAGTGGGTGCTTGGCCTGGTTTCCGGCCGTCAAACTAAAAGTCAAGCACCCTAAAACTGGCAGTGATGTATCAAAAGTGAAACTGGTGTATTGTTGGTCGAACGTCCTTACTGTCCTGGATGTAGATGAAATCGAAGCCCCCAGCAAGGACAAGCCTCCAAGTCTTACCTTTAAACCTCGCAGTAGATGGAAAGCCGATGAAGCGATTGTTGCCGTTCAGTGGCTCAGCCGATCCGTCCTGACTGTCTTGACCATTACTCAACGTCTGATCATTCTTGAGGATGGGAGTATGCGAATGACAGAAGCATTTGACTTGGTTCATAAGCATATCTTCCACCGGGACATTTTCTCGAGTCAACTTCACAGCCTTGTAGAGCAATTGGACGAAGAAGATCCATCAATGCATGGTGTGGTAGCTGATGCTTTCTACATGAGCTTCAAAGCCTACAAGGGACGAATGTTCCTGCTCGGTTTCAATGATGTCTCTATTGGCTCACTATCGAATTGGGCAGATCGACTGATATCACTGATGGAAGAGGGCGATTATATCGGAGCCATCCAGCTTGCAACCTCTTATTACACTGGTGATGCGGATAAGTTGACGATTGGTCTTCCAGAAGACACAGGTCTTCGCCATACCATGGTTCAGGACAAATTGGTTGAGATCATGACGGCATCTCTGAAATTCGCCTTTAATCAGCACCAAAAAGAAGCAGATTTGAAGAATCTTAGAGACCTGGCAGAGGCTTGTTTTGAAGCTTGTCTTAGCATCGAAGATATTGACTTCTTGTTTGATGAAGCTTGGGAGTGGTACGAGGATGGCGATGTAGAAGGCGTCTTTCTCGAAACTCTAGAGCCACATATTCTAGAGCGGAAGATTGTCACTATACCACCCACAGTTGTCAAGGCAATGGTTACCCATTTTGTGAGCGAGGGGCTTGAGAGCCGACTGGAAGAAATGCTTTGTCATATGGAAACCATGACACTTGATATCGATCAAGTTACAATGCTTTGCAAACAGCACAACCTCTACGATGCTCTCATCTATGTTTGGAACCAGGCTCTGAGAGATTACATCACCCCGCTTATAGATCTTCTGGCTCTCCTCGTTCCTCTCATCCAGAACGGAGACTCGCTTGCGAATGCAAGTCTAATGGACGACCCGATATTTGGGGTGAATGCCCTGAAAATGTTTCCATACCTATCATACACATTCACTGGTCGAGTTTACCCGACTGGGGACAGCCTAGAAGATCAAGATGCCATGAAAGCAAAAGCAGAGATTTACTGGTTTATCTTTTCTGGTAAAACAATCACTTGGCCCAAAGCAACAGGAAAGCCTTTCTTGACGCAGCCGAATAAAAGATACGAACCGTCATTTCCGTACCTTAGGATGATTCTAAAATTTGACGCCCCAAGCTTTTTGAGTGCTCTAAATGAGGCATTTGAAGACTCATTTCTCAATGATACCCCAGAGCGAGCGGTCAACGGTGGTTCTAACAGAGACATGCCGGAGGAACATGTCTTCGGACTCTCAGTCAACCGACAATATATTGTCACCATCCTTCTCGAAGTCATGAACCCGAACGACTTTGCGTCCGAGGATACCATTTACCTCGACATGTTTATAGCTCGTAACCTACCCAAGTTTCCTCAATACTTGTTACTTTCAGGCAGTGCACTACACAAAGTCCTGGTCGGTCTCTGCAACTACCCGGGAGATGATCTAGCAGACGACGCACAATTGAGTGTGGAATATTTGCTCTCCGTCTATCACCCCCCGGATATCGCTTCTCTCCTGCCTCTACTACAAAAGGCAGGCTTCTACCGAGTACTCAAAAGCGTCTACAAAGCCGATAAGCAATACAGCAAACTGATCCAGACTTATTTTGATGATCCAGAAGACCGACAGAAGGTTTTTGATTGTATAGCCGACTGTTTGAAGCCACGTTCTGGTTTGACCAAGAGACAAATTCGGGATGTTCATGATGTGGTGGGATCCCACGCGAATGATCTTGTCAATCTTGATGCTGTCAAAGCAGCTCAGATAATCGATGCTTATGTGCCTTCTTTGCATGAGCAGTTCCTCGATGCCCTACCCGACGATTCGGAGGTCCAATACACCTATCTCCACACAATTTTCGAACCGACTATAGCAGATACGGCAGATGTCAAACCCTCAAGCCATGGAGAATTTACTGAGAGATATGTGCAGCTTATGTGTAAGTTTGATTCTGCACATGTGGTCGATTATGTTGGGCTAGTGCAAGCAAGTGACTTGCACCTTGAGAAAGTGTTGCCTTATATGGAAGAAAGTGGCGTTGTGGATGCTGCTGTAGTATTAATGGCGAGGGATGGCCAGTTACAAGCTGCAATGCGACGATTGATACAGCATTTAAGGAAACTTGAGGCCAGTCTACTTGGTCTTCTGGGTGGTTCGGATGAAGATATGCAGTCGGTACCCCTTGCTGAAGCGACAGAAGACCTTCTCGGTGCTCTTCAGAAATATACCAATGTTGGAATATGGCTATGCCAAGGGTTGGACAAGGTACCATTTATGAACTCTCCCTCATCTCCAATTCGAAAAAGGGCGCCTTCAAAGAATGAGCTTCTCCCTGATGAAGTTCTATGGTTGGATCTTATCGATGTCACTGTCCAGATTACCCAGAAAGTCTCAGCGAGTTTACTGGACCTCAAAGAATCAACATCCACAGAAATGGACTGCGAGAAACTGGTATTCCAACTACGAACAATTGTCCAGCGTTGCTTCACCGCATTACTCACTTCTACATCTTCGCCCACACCCTCAGGTGCTAGCCTATCATTCCTCCGAATTCTTCGTGCCTTCCTGACGCGAGCCTCGATCTCATCTCCCAACCTAAGCGACCTTCGCGCAGTCCTTACCTCCATCTTCTCCGCTTATGCATATGAAGAAAGCATCCTCATTCTCGCCAACCGATTACTAGAAAAAGACCTTTTCGTTAATGTCAAATCTGCTACCGCCCTTCGTCAACGAGGATGGCGACCTCGTGGTTCCACTTGCGAAGGCTGTGGTCGACGGGTCTGGGGCCCAGGCGTCTCGGGCGACGTCTTTTCCAAATGGGAAGAAAGACAAGAACAGGATACTAAACGACGGAAAGACAAAAGTGCTGAATTAGCAGGAGGTCATTTGGAAAGAGGCAAAGGACGAGCCCATGCGAGCAATGCAAGTAAAACTAATATTCTGGAAACAGAAAGAGGGAAGGGGAAGGATGTTGAAACCAGTGGAACTGAGGTTCCTGTAGGGGATTTAGGTCCACTTGTTGTATTGGCGTGTAGGCATATTTACCATCAGTCTTGTTTGGAGGCTGTGCAGGCGGAGGAGGAGAGGGAGGGGGATGGACAGGAGTTTAGATGTCCTATTGATGGGTAATTGGGGGGATGAAGAACCACTTTACTGTTTATATGAGACTCAAGAGATGAATTGAGATTCCTTTTCTATTGAAATGATTTCTGGTGATACAGGCCTGACATAAAGCGCCATTGGGCAAGGTCAATTTAACATATACTAATCGCGAGACAGTCACTTCGCTAGACTGGTGGATCATGTGTGGTGTAATGTTACTCCCAACATAATTTTGTTAAGATACTAACTGGGTGATTTAAGAGCTGAAGCTCAATGGTACTAACATCTCCAGCTGCCTTTTCATTTATATGGAACCTATGTACCAAATGACCAAATCTTCTCATTTATCTTACGATTATTGTTGGTGGTGTTGTGGCTTGAAACATTCCTGCCACTTGTTTCAAGACCCACATTGCGGGAAGCGGCAGGGCCGAAGATCTTAAAAAAGGACCAATATATTGGCATGAATCCTAAAAGGCAAGAGCAATCCCCTTGAAATTGCAAACATCATAACTTCATCTGTATAGTCCTCGTAATTTATCTTTCCTAAAGCAAACACAACAAAACAAACAGTTCAAAATCCAGCAAGAAGCTGCGCTGCTCACGCGCTATCGCCGACGGTACGGTCGATCTGAGACGATCTACCAGAATCCTTGATTCGCTCTGAAGCCCCATACTGTCACAGAACCACGGACGGCACTTGACGATTCCAGCACCGCCACGAGTCCCGGTTTTCCTCGATTCCCTCCATTACCTCTTATTTTCGATCGTCCAGAAAGCTTGTCTCTTCTTTCTTCCTTCCTTTCCTGAATTCCGTGTTCTCGACTTTGTGTCAATTCCATTGTTTTTCCATTCTCACCCCTTTTTTTGTTTTCGTATCCTAAATACTTCGTCTTCCTTCGATTATTGAGATCTTTGGGATTTCGAACATCAGTTCATTACTTCTTTTAATCAACAGACTTCGAAATGGAGTCTCTAAATCTGTTGTTTGCACGATCTCATAATGATACGGTTTTCGTGGATCCTGTTACCGGGGAAGTGTTCATTGTTGATGGACGTCGTGGATGGTGGTATACAAGAGTAAGTGGCGCAATTTCAAGATGGAAATACGTACTGACTGAATCATTACAGGAAGGACAGATCGCCCGATGGTCGATATTCTTTGGGCTCTTCTTCATCTTAATGGTTTATATGGTGGGTGGATATATGCATGCGAAGAAGAGAATAAGTAAAGGCCTTGCACCTCTACCATACCACCGTGTAAGAACTCTCATTACTCTTGTTTCATATGGATCTATCTAACAGATGTTGCAGTGGCTTTTGAGTAGATCTCAGCGAGCCCAGTTCGACCCTTGGTATCAGGAACCCACGATTTACTATCAGACATATCCACCACCCGGGGCCCATTACGGAATGCATCCTATGCCACCACCAGTATATGACCCGAATATGCCTCCAACATACCAACCACCTGCGGGAGCATCAAAAGTTGATCCATCGCAATGGAGAACCGAGCCAACAAGAAGACCAGCCGAAAGCGATCCTGCTCCAGGATACGCTCCTCCTCCTGGACCCCCACCACCAGCACTTCAACCCAACCACACTGGCGCCAGTAACAACCCATATAGAAAATGAGATGTGCGGAGGAAGTTTTGATCGGGTCGGGTTTGGATCCTATATATCTTTTGCAGCGAAGCGGATAGGAGTATTGGGACATAGATTTTAGAGCAGCATCTTTGAGCAGCGACTAACACCAGTATACTATCAGGAATAGAATTGACAAGGCAGATAGCTTAACTGATCAAAGACTATGTCTATTGTGTATATGATTTACTATTATGCAGGTGTTCTTCCCAAAATCCATTCAACCTAAATCCATTGCGTCCGGGTCATCCTCTATTATTTCGGGTGGGCCTTGATATCCTCCCATATTAGGTTGACTTGGGAATTGCTTTCCATTCATCAGGCCCATATCCCAATCGCGAACATCGACACCATTCGCAAATGGATCCGACTGTGGATTCCGGTTATTGTCATTCCGTTTCTGGTCCTGTTTTGCCCGTGCCCTAGCTCTTGTTTCAATAATTGCTTTCCTAACGCTGTCTTGCTCCTCTGGCACCGTCAATGAAGTCGGGATGTTATAGAGGACCAATTGGTTGTTGCCAGCCAACTCGCCCTCGCTGTTTGCACGAATGAACGGCGGAATCCGGTTTTCGCGAAGGTGCTTCTGGATGTCGGGTAGGAAAACCAGTTTGCCATCGTCGGATTCGCCACTGTCTGATAGCTCAGCGTCGAGATCGTAAATGTATACCTTGTGCTTGGAATTGTCTAGCTGCATTATATCTTCATCTTTAGCTTGCGCCGGGGTTTGTGAGTTTGTGGATGCGGCGTTGAGACTGGCCTGTTCCACCGGCACATAGAGCTTTTGCCCATTGCGTTCTGCAGAGGAGTTAGCTGAGTCTCTACTGTACCGGCACGCAGGCACAAGTTTTGGGAGGAGACCGACCAAGATTTAGCAGACTCAATCTCTTGAAGAGGCGTTCGTTTTCTTGGGTTTCTGCCTTTCTTTTCCTGACTTTGCCTGAGCGATCCATGCCCGCGCGCCCTGATTTCTTCCACCCCTCCTGAACCTACAATACAACAACCTTGAGACACCCCTTCCCTCCAATTATACGGTCGCAGTCCAGTTCAAACCAGAGTTCCGTGCGCAATCAGTAGGACAGGTTTGAGATCCAGCCCCAGCTTTCAATTCGCCAGGAAAAAAACGATCGGGGTCGCTCGAGTGAAGGGGCGGATGAATGATTTGTGTCGTGGTGGAGGCTCAAGGTTCCAACGATTAAGATCAGGACTGAGTCACTGGCACAGGCACTGGGCTGCCTCCTCCAAAACCAACGCCCAGACGCGAACAACATTTCTGAGATCGCGCACAACACCACCCATCTTATCTGGCTATCGACAATTCTTCTCTACCGGAGTCACGATGACAGAAGCTCAGAAGAAATGGACTGCTCCCATCGTCAGAAAGGAGTTTCTCGACTTCTTTGACAAAAATGGACATACTATTGGTACGTAGCGGGGTAATTGAGGGGGAAACCATAATTCTCGAGTTGGTCTGCAAGACTTGCGATAGGGTCTGGCGAATATATTCTATGACTCTTGGATATACCATCATCTCTGCGAATATCCTGGGCTAATCTGTATTTAATTCAGTGCCCTCATCCTCCGTCGTCCCCCACAATGACCCCACACTCCTCTTCACCAATGCTGGTATGAACCAGTTCAAACCCATCTTTCTGGGAACGGTGGGCAAGACGGATGACATGGCGCAATTGAAGAGAGCAGTGGATACTCAGAAGGTATGCTAGGCTATGTCTGTACAAGTTTGTTCTGACAGATCAAAGTGTATCCGCGCTGGAGGCAAGCACAATGACCTTGACGATGTGGGAAAAGACAGTTATCATCACACATTTTTTGAGATGCTGGGCAATTGGTCTTTCGGCGATTACTTCAAGGAAGGTGCTATTACAATGTCCTGGGAGCTTCTCACTAAAGTCTATGGATTGGATCCGGATCGTTTGTATGTTACCTACTTTGAGGGAGACGAGGCCTCTGGATTGGAACCCGACTTGGAGGCCAAGGAAATCTGGAAGAGTGTTGGTGTGGCAGACGACCATATCTTGCCAGGAGATATGAAAGACAATTTCTGGGAGATGGGTGACCAAGGACCATGCGGGCCATGCAGTGAGGTACACTACGACAGAATAGGTGGACGAAACGCCGCTCATCTTGTCAACCAAGATGATCCAAATGTGTTGGAAATCTGGAACAACGTTTTCATCCAATTTGATAGACAGAAGGACCGTTCGCTAAAAACTTTGCCAGCCAAGCATGTTGACACTGGTATGGGATTTGAACGCCTGGTTTCGGTTCTACAGGACAAAGCCTCTAATTATGATACTGATGTATTTTCCCCACTCTTCGCCAGAATACAGGAGGTCACGGGAGCTCGGGAGTATACCGACAAATATGGTGCTGACGATCTTGATGGCATTGATACCGCTTATCGTGTTGTTGCAGATCACATTCGTTTGCTGACTTTCGCCATATCTGACGGAGGTGTTCCTAACAATGAGGGAAGAGGATACGTTGTTCGACGTGTTCTACGGAGAGGATCTCGATATGCCCGAAAATACTTTGGAGCCGAAATTGGCAGCTTTTTCTCCAAGATTCTCCCTGCTTTGGTTGCACAGATGGGTGAGCAGTTTCCAGAAATCGTCAAGAAGCAGGATGATGTTAGGGAAATTCTTGACGAAGAGGAAGCTGCTTTTGCAAAGACATTGGATCGAGGCGAGAAGATGTTTGAAAAATATGCTGCAAAGGCCATCGAGACGAGCACCAAGAAGTTATCAGGCGCAGATGTTTGGCGATTATACGATACTTTCGGATTTCCAGAGGATTTGACAAAAATTATGGCAGAGGAACGAGGATTAGAGACCGACGATGCTGAGATTCGGGTAGCACAGGAAAAGGCAAGAGAGGCCAGCAAGTCTGTCAAGGAGGCTGCCCACACTTTTGCAAAGTTGGACGTGCATCAAATCGCAGAACTGGATAAGATTGGCATCCCAAGACCAAATGATGACGCCAAATTCTCCAAGGGTGATATCACTGCAAAGATCCAGCTAATCTATGACGGAAAGGATTTCTTGAAGTCCACTGCAGATCTGCCATCACAAAAAACATTTGGAATCTTAGTTGATAAAACCAACTTTTATGCAGAGCAGGGAGGTCAAATTTTCGATACTGGCAAAATGGTCATTGATGGTGTCGCAAAGTTCATAGTTTTGGACGTCCAGGCTTTCGGTGGCTATATTCTACACAACGGTTATCTAAGGTATGGTCAACTCAAGGCCGGAGATGAGATCATCTGTGAATACGATGAGCCCAGAAGAAAGCCAATTCGTAATAACCATACAGGAACACATATTCTCAACCACGCTCTCAGGGAACATCTGGGCGATGATATCAACCAGAAGGGATCTCTAGTTGACCAAGACAAACTCCGGTTTGATTTCTCACACAAAGCTCAAGTCACTTTGCCGGAGCTGAAGAAGATTGAAGATTCCGCAAACTCTTATATCAAGCAAAACTGCAAGATTTATTCGAAAGATGTGGATCTTGATATTGCAAAGGGGATTGAAGGTGTCCGTGCTGTCTTTGGCGAGACATATCCAAATCCAGTTCGTGTCGTCTCAGTGGGCGTTGAAGTTGATATCCTTCTTGCAGAACCTCAAAACCCTGAGTGGCGAAAGGTCAGTGTTGAGTTCTGCGGCGGTACCCATGTGGACCAAACTGGACTGATCAAGGATCTTGTGATTGTGGAGGAGAGCGGAATTGCCAAGGGCATTCGACGAATTATTGCTTACACTGGTGATGCCGCGCATGAGGTTCAACGTTTGGCTGTGGAATTTGCGAAGCGAATCTCACTTCTGGAGCAAATGCCCCATGGACCAGAGAAAGAGGCTGCTTGCAAGGTCACACAGCAAGACTTGAGCCAGCTTACTGTGTCAACTTTGACAAAGGAAGAGCTCAAGGGCCAGTTTGCCAAGGTTCAAAAGGCCGTTCTTGATGAACAGAAGAAAAAGCAAAAGGCTGAGTCGAAAACCGCACTCGACACTGTCACTCAATACTTTGCTCTTCCAGAAAACAAAGACAAGAAAGTCTTTGTTGGCAAGCTCCCAATCTCCGCAAACCCCAAGGCTATCAACGATGTCTTGAACTATTGCAAGACGAAAGCCAAGGACAAGACCGTGTATCTGTTTAGCGGAAGCACCGAAGAGAACGCAGTGGTCCATGGCACCTATGTCGCCTCGGATTATGCTGCTAAAGGTCTCACGGCTGAGAAGCTGGCTGCTGCCGTGTCTGATCTCGTCGGAGGTAAATCTGGAGGAAAGGAGCCTACGAGAACGGGCCAGGGTATCAATCCAGGGAAGATTGATGATGCCGTTGCGGAGGTTGAGAAGTTGTTTGCTGGTTTTACGATTTGATTTTGATACCATTTGTACTGTAGAATAGAGTCTCTTTCTTATAAAAAAAAGATTTTTGTCTTGCTTTGTGTAGATGAGTGGATGTGTTTTGTAGGTGTCTTACATGTTTCCACTGTGTCTGCGCCTTTATTGCTGTTGGAGTGAAGTATTGTTGTTGAAGTGTAAGTAAAGTAGGATAGCCAGGCTGGTTCAAAGGTTCAGTATTGTTGTGTAGCTTCCACTCGTCCTGTCATTTTCGTGATTTAGTAAGTATCAACAGAACATGACAAAACCAAACTAAACGAAAGGAAGGCTCCCAATCATTGGGTAAACACCCTTCATATCAGAGTCTCAGAGAACCACCTAAACCAATTAATGCCATTCATACGTCTTGAATTGAATTCTATCATCTCCAAAGTACAGCTCACTCTCTAATGTCCGAGTATTAAGTAAGCAATACTTGGATGAGGACTTGTAGGGAGTGGATGGGAAGAGGAAGGGAAAATTGATGGGAACTTGTTTTAGTTGGGGTGATTTCTCTTTTTTGGGGTCGGGGGGAGGTAGGGTTTTGGTTTTGGTTATAGTGAGTAATAGGGTTTCATATATAGTTTTTTTCTATAGAGGTACCTTAATAGTTCAAGCGTCTTTATCATATCGTAGAAGGGAAAAAGTTGGTTTTTTGATGATATATGCTTTAGCTACGCCGCTGCAAAAGCAATTCTTGATAAAAGGCTGGAAGGAAGGCTTATACTTTTTCTTGCCTTGTTGGACGCGAGTAGAGTTGGAAATGTACTTGAGTAGCAATTGGGGAAGGTTGTAAGTAAAAAGGGAGTAGAAGTTGGAAAAAGGTAAATGTGATATTTTGAAAGGGGCCACCAGGGGTTGGGGTAAGATTTTCATGAGTCTTATGAATAACTGGAAAAGCCTCTACAGATATAGTAACAACACAAATGAAATCTGGAAAAGGGAGAAAAGAAAAGAAAGTGACGTGTATACTATGATCAGTAAGGGGCTTCGATCTCGGTCTCATTACTCTAGACTGCCCCAAATGCAAAGTCTACGCCATTTACTTTTTACTCACGAACTCTGCCTAATACTCTTCGTCTAGCATGTTAGCCTCTTGAGTATCCGAATATTGGCTGGTCACAAGTTGGTTCTCCAACCATGGTTCTGGTATATCAGGAATCTCATCTGGCATCTGTCCAGAGGGTGACCCGAGTACTTCAGCTTCCCGAGCCGCGTGCAGACTTTCCAGCTCATCGGTCAGAATCTGGTACGTTTCACGATCTAAGACTTCGAACTCCTGATCTAGCTGAATTTGCATCTGGTTAGGATCCTGGTATTGTGTCTCGATTGGAGGCGCTTGGTAGTGATCTGCCTGTGGACTTGAGCCTACCTGGTTTGCCAGAGCATCATTGGCTTGGATTTGATTCCAGAAGTTTTGCAGCGTGGGATCCTCGAATTGTAGGTCCTGTAGACTCTCTAGGAAAAATTGGGTTTGATTCAGTTGTGGGTTTCCTGACTCGGAGATACTAGGAGAATTGTTGGAGAGTATGGAATTCCAGAAACTTTGTAGGACGGGGTCCTTGAATTGCGGTTTTTGAGGTTCTTTGAGTTGAGTATCATCTTGAAGAAACTGGTCTTGACCTGGCTGTAGATCTTCTATCTCTGAATTTTCCGGATCTGGAGGATTTTCATCCGAGACAACGTTGTTCTGAGCATCATGACCTCGAGACTCCGGTAGATCCACTACCTCTGGGAGAGTATCAGACAGAGCTGTATCACTCTCAACCAGCAACTTCGACACCTCAACCGTATCTACCAGCGATAAATCCCCAGCAACAGACACAAAAGGAGCATCCTCATCAATAGCTCTAACAACATCGACAGCCCTAATATAAATATCAGCTTTCACACCATCCGTCCCTCATTTACCAAACAACTCCTTTCGCAAGCGCTCAAACTAATTTTTGATCGAGATTGCATTATAAGCGCGAGGTGGTGTCATGCCCCGACGAGTAAATTCCCCACTCATTGTGGCGCTTACCCATTCCCAGTCTGCCTTTTGTTCGGAAGTGGAATATTTGAAGGGGTATAAGGAGATTAGAAGTGCGTTTTCGAAGGGTTTCCATTTTCGATGACCTCTTTCTGTGGGGTTTTTGGGGGGCATTGTGATGGTGTTTGGTGAGTGATGGGCTTTGGAATTCTGGTGAGGAAGGGGGTTTTATGAGGGTTTATTGAGGAAACGGGTAGGTTATTCTGGGAGGTGAATATGATAGACGGGGATTTATATGTCTTATTCTTTTGCAACTAATTTCTTTTGTTTTCTTATGAACAGTATCTATAACTATTAGATGGGTGGAAGGAACAGTATCTAAGATTGACTTAGGCATTGTTTCGCTCACACCTCTGACGTTTGGGAGCTAAGTCGACCTTTTATATATGAATAACAGATTGATTGTTCTGAGCTGAAAAAAACCTTGATTAGTCTAGAGTATTTAGCTTTTCTATATACATTATAGTATCAAAGTCTAGGAGCTCCACAAAGCCCGTCTGAGGCTGTCTCTACTACCTATTATCCCTATATCTTAAGTTTTTAAAACGCACCAGTTCTTTTATACTAACCACGTATCTAGACATCGCGAGTATGGTTACGTAAGTACTGTCTTGGTCTAAAATCTAGAAAGAACGTATTATTAGTAGGTTCTGCGAAGTGGTTTCCACCACATGGAACAAAGAGTCTGGCTAGTCCTATTTGGCAAAATTCTAGGAGGAACAAAGATCATATACAAGGGCTATACAAACCCTAACTTATGGGAATATTACTCTCTTTCCAGTTATCCTAGCACTCTCAGCACTTCACACATATACACTCCCTTTAACGGAACGTTATAGTAGTAGTGGTAGGAGAAGGCGGAAGTAGTATTAAATACAAGTGTATGTAGAATTTGTTTGTATATCTTATTATATTCGATAGATCAGCTAAATTCTTTTCAGACATATAAATTAATATAGTCTGATTAACAGGTTTCGTATGGTAAGTACAACATGAATTCAGCTTAATATACGAGCCGAACAGGGGTCTAGTTAAATAGGGGAATATGTATTAAAAATTAACGTTTATTTCACAATGACAATACTTTGTTCTAGTAAGTATATAGTAACATTGCATTATAATACAAATGTAGCTAAATATGCGATCAACACAGGGCCTTAATTAAACAAAAGATTATTTGTAGAAAGTTAATGTTCATTTAGGAATAGCAATGCTTTGTTCTAGTACCGTAGATAGAAATCTTATATTATATACCACAAAGAAAAGTGTTACTAGGTCTAGTATCTACACCTAGTGTTTAACATCTCCCGTCCTCGCCTATCCGCACTCTTCTCCGAGGCCTATCTATTAAAATTAGCAAGTTATCCTTCATGTTCCGCTCCTGACCAATCAGTACTCCTTATACTCGCCAGGGTAAGAGCGTATAGGATTCCCATGAATCTCTTAAACACATCCCGCCAGTACATATTAGTGTGCATTCCTGGCGTCTGGTGGCTGGAATTCGAGTATATGTGGTGGAGTTGATGGCGCAGGATCCCGCGGCGAAAATATGCGTCCCGCGAGCCCTCAATATGTATACAGATTCTATACGGTAGTCCATGAAGTGGAAACTACTGGTCAGATTAACTGACAAAACACCACTTTTCTATCGCCACAGGAACAAAGAAGTAAGACTGTTTTAAAATAAATTTTAAGACCTTCTTGTCCCTTTTGCCACACACCCCTCTTTTTCCGTGCACCCCTTCTCCACCAATCCCATTTCTGTACTGTGAGAAGCCTTCCGAGATTCGTGGTTCGTGGGGTAGCTGGGGTGTTGGTTAAGGAGCTGACTCTTGTGACTTTGGCGAGGCTTGAATTTAACTCTGAATTTGGCGAGACTTCGACAACTCCAAATCCGCTTCATTTGTCCAACGTGTCCGATCCTGTATATCGCTCTGGTTCCTTTTGCTCTGGCTGGCTCAAATCGTCTCAGGTCCTGGATTATTGCTCTAGCGTTGCACTGGCTCTCTTGCTCTGGTGTGTTAGACGGAAAAGGACGAACTGGTAGAGGATCTTCAACTAGATAAACCAGCCTCCTCTTCAGGAGTCAATTGAACTTCCGACACCCTAAGCGTGCGACCGAAGCTCATAACCTGTTCTAGCACAATAAACCATTAACCTAATATATTCTGTTATCTTCATCAGTATCAATTTGACCTTGCTGTCTGAATGTAATTTATGGGCATTAGGCCTGGGCCGGAACATCAAGATCAACAACCCCATCTTTAAATAGCTTTAAGCAATAGTTGCTGCTACTGACCCCGCAACCCGCGGACTTAATCAGACCGATATTCCTTATTCGCGTTCATTAACTGACAGAAGAGTCTAGACAGACATTTAGTCCCAAAGTAGCAAAAATATTGGGGGCTGAAACTATGAGGCTTGCGACTGCAAATGTGTTGGCTAGGACTGTAGAAAATCACTTGTTAGGTTGCGTTCCACGAGTGCAACAACTTTCTTTCTTTTTGTTCTTCGGATTAGATGTCAATTTATGGCTCAATATCTGACAGCATTACAGAACGCCATAGATTTCTCAGCCGCACCCCGCGGTTGTGAACTTCTGCCGTGACAGCTAGGTCCCGACCCGCCTCAATCTTAGGCGCTTTAATAGTGTGCATATGCCCCGTGGGGTTCTCATCATGAATTCGTGGATTTTGTCTTAGTGCTAGCGATAATTTCTAAAGAGCGAACCCCCGCAACCGCTGACGATTCTGTTACAACTGGCGAATCACTCAAGATGCCTCTCTCCAAAGAGCATATCTACTCGAAGAAGCTTCGACGGCTTGTTTCAGCTGAATCTTGGGATCAAAACTTTGTGAAGGGGCAAGGAACATATCGAGGTTTCATCAAAATGCGTGGGAGCGAGGACAATACGTGAATCAATAAAGCGGATATCTCAGGAAACTCAGAGTTTTATTTTCCCGACCGAGGTATGAACTTCTCGGGAATCATACTGCTCGAGAATGCTACACTCGAAATGATTTGCCATTATGGCGTCAGATACGACATCGATCCAGTCTTCTTTGCGCAGCACAAGTGTGGTAGGTACACATTCGACAAGGAAGAATTTCCCCCGTATGAATTTTAATCGGACCCAATGGAGCAGCCGCTCTGGTTGCACATGGACAGCGAGGTGGTCCACTACACACCCAAGCACCGGGAATCGTCGATGAAAAAGTTACGATCATCTGCTCTCCGACTTGATGGGTCTCTGTGTAAGTTTCTTCCAAACATATTTATATATTGACTACTAACATGTCCCACAGTCATTATTCTAGTCGATAAGCGAACGACAAATGAGCCAAATAGGGAAAAGGATCTTGCCAGAGGTGACCTTCATGTGACAGTACGAATTGGCAGTAGCCCCCCAGTTCCCCAGAAGATGGGAAGTGGGAGTTCAGCGTGGTGGGATAACGTCTTCGAGAGCGTGTGGGAATGGATTACAGAAGAGCCGTTTGAACTTCGATTGAGCTTGATCGAACTCATATTTAGGCAAGAACAAAAGTCGGGTGGAGCTGCTCGAGTATTGGTAGGCTTGTTTAAATTGTTCGACTCTAACGCGAGGATGGAAGATCTGCAACGTAGCGCCGGAGACCTTAATCTTGCTGCAATAGCCGCACCTGACTTGGAGACTTTCAAATCCTTGAACGAACGTCGGCGAGAGTTCGCGGAGCTTCAAGGCATTCTGCTGAATAAAGAAGATGCGGAGGCAGAGGACGCGTGTTTCGAAGAAGTCACCTCCGGGCTCCAGTTCTCACTTCCGGAACTTCCTTCCAAACAGTATGAGCGACTGAAATCCAATGGAAGAATTCTAAATCAGGAGCTTAACACTATCTTCAAAACGCTTATTGGGACAATCACCTTGATGGATTCGAGAGCCAACCAGGAGAGTGCAAAGCCGTCGAAAATACAGGCAGAAAAAGCCACAATGCTAACCCTGCTAGCCGCCTTCTACCTCCCACTGACTCTGTGTACTGGCATATTTGGCATGAATATTGACAAAATTGTTGGCAGTCCGGGTCCTGGTTGGTTGTAGTTCTGGTTGCGTTGTTAATTCCATCTGCTGGGTTCATCGCGTATTTGTTTCGGAGGGAGAAGTGGTGGTTCTGGAGGTCATGGGGGGTTTTCAAGTCCAAACAAAGTCACTCAGACAAGAAAGACAAGGAAAATGGACAGCTCCTCTAAGTCTTCTTGAGAAAGGCCTTCCCAGTCGTTGGAACATGTGGAGTCCTAGTACTGGTATCTACAATCAAGATAGTAGGGTATGGCACTATCTTCTCTAGTGCGAATGCAGGCGTTTCATGGTGGTAATGGCAAAGAAAGTTCAAGAAATGTGAAAGAATATTAACAGGAGGTCGTTACTAATAATAAAAAGATAGATAGATTAATATCTTGTTATATATATTTATTTTATTAGCTTTGTTTAGAAGCGAAATACTTGGTTTAATTTCTTATAAATTAGCAACCTTAAAAAGAGAGCTAAAAGTTAAGAATAAGATAGAGAGCACGGTATCTTATATACTATAAAGAAAAGAAACAAAGACGCTTCGCTTACTATTTCTTTATTAATAAACCGTTTACTCTTTAAAGTTATTTAGCTAATCTATATACATTTCCAAGTATTTAAGTCCTAATCGTCTTTTTATTTCACTTACTTATATTTATATTTACTTTATTTATACGTATCTTTTAGTACTCTACCTATGTAGTAATATTTAAAAGGAAAGGGGCTTAGGATTTTAAGTATTATATTATTTATTATTAAATAGGATTCGAGATAGAAAGCTTATATTTGTACTTACTAAGCTAAGAAGTAGAGTACGCTAGGTAGTAAACTATATAGTTGTAAAATATCTATATATATTCGAAGGAAAGCGAAGAGAATTAATAATATTATTCTAATCTCTCTATATATATAGAGAATACTAAACACGTACCGTATATTATATTTAATAAAGTAAGTAAGTAGTATAACGTGGTTTATCAGCGAGTCGATCATATCACCGAGTCGATCACTTTTTCTTGGCACAGAACTTTACACCTAAATAAATCAACCACAATATATTAAATTAATTATCGCTCTCTATATCTGACGAACTAGATATATCTATAACTTCTTGACAAGTTCGCGCGTTATGACCAGCTTTTCCACAAGTTCTACAGCGCCGCCTAGAAGGTTGCCCCTCCTTATAACCAACCCCCGCCTCACGCATGTCGCGTCGTACTTGCTCATCTACATCCTCCTGAGCTAACATATCCTGTACATCCTCTACTATAAGTGCCCCTCCTTGGCGGACACGAGTCTTTTTAGCCCTACGGCGTTTACTTAGGGCTTCATTTGCAGCGCGAAGGGTACGGACCTCAGCAGACAAAAGGGTCATCTCATGTGCCATTCGCTCTGTACCCTTTGCTAACGCAGCAACTGTTTGAAAAAGTGGAGTTGGCGAGCTTCCTTGATGACAGGCTATACGATTTCGTACAAGAGTTGATTGTGAAAGGGCTTCAGTTGGGTTGGAAGGGGTCTGGGACACCCAGGGGAGGGAGTTGGCACTACACGTCCGAGGGGGAGTTGGAGTCCGTAACCTTACGTCAAGCTTTGAAAGCACTGCTTGCGGGTTAAATGGTACTAGGCCAGCTCCGCGGAATCCAGACTGACAGTTTAGGACTGTCATTGTTTCCTTGTATGCTGCTGTAAAGGCTAGAAAGAACTCAACCTTTGTAATATGGTTGATATGGGCCTTGATAAACGTCTCAATCTGCCGACCATACGCTCGTTTTAACACACTATAGCACCCAACATCAAGTGGCTGGGTTAGATGGGATGAATGAGGAGGTAGTCCAAGAGTAATAATGTTGTGTTTCGTACAGTAGTCTTGGAACTCAGCCGATTCATGACTCTCGTGCCCATCCAAAACTAGTATTCGATACAGACCCTTTGCACGAGCTGTAGTGTGTTTATCAAAGTGCTTTAACCATTCCAGGCCTGTTTCATTATTTGTCCAACCATTGCTTGTCGGTTTCATAACCCAGTTAGGTGGGAGGCCGCCGTCGGTATACCAGTTGGAGAGATGGTTCTTGCCCTGAACTACCAAGAATGGAGGAATACTCCAGCCCTCCCCATTAATACAGGCAATTGCTGTAGCCCATTCCCGATTGCCTGGCTGAACTGCCTTGCCTCTACCACGTCGGTCTGCACGAGTAACAACCATTCTAGGACAAATAACACCCATCATAAAGCCTGTCTCGTCGAAGTTGTAGAAGTCGGAGTCTGTAACCCCATATTTCGCCCTCATATTCTCTACTAGCCGGAACCATGCGCCTAGCACGTCAGGATCTTCGCATAAGGCCCTCTGGAAGTCGTAAACGCGATTAAAACGCGTCTTAAGGTCTGGTTGTCGTTGTACGAATCGATGGGCCCAGAGCTTGCCGACGCGTCTTCCCCCCCGCGATTCAAGGATAAAATTAGCCATATCTTCTACACCAGCGAGCCGGGGCGCAAATCCTCTGGAATCCATATCCAGTATATACCGAATAATCACTTCCTCTTCTAACTCAGTCAACTTATGACAATTGGCTTGAGAATCTGGGCGGTAGGTTCGGCCAGCCATTCTGTCGGAAAGAGTCGTATATGGTACATTGTAGATCTTTGCCGCAGAGCGTTTGCTTAGTTTTTTGGACGACCGAATAGCCTCGATAGCTAGAGTAATTCGCGCTTCTTGAGTTTGAATTTCCATGGTAAATAGTTGAAGAAAACGTGTGTTGAAGTTTGAGGAGGTAGTGCCAAGGAAAAGTGATCGACTCGGTGATATGATCGACTCGCTGATAAACCACGTTATATATATATATAAGTAGTAGAATATATTAGAAAGCGTTCTATAATATATTTATAAGAAATGTTCGTATATTCGTTTATATATAAAAAAGGTATATAATATATCTGTGGAGAGATAGGATTATGGACTTTTAAGCGAGAAAAACGTGCATATTTTGGTCGCTTTGCATAAAAGGTAAACAACTCGCTTATAGCTCGGCTCTTTATCCCTTGCATAAGTCGTACATATAGGAACACCAAAAGTACGATCCTACTCGCAAGGCCGCATCGAGCCTACAACGCCTCTGAAACTTATATAAAATCGAGCAAGATAAATTAGACTAAAGCGCTATAATTCTATGTTTTCGAATTAGTTGTACGATTATTATTGCGATTGTTATATAATTTACAAGTTATCGTTGCCTTCTTACCACCTTTGAAGTACGACGGTGCCTAGGCACCTAGGCACCCACGCAGGAACACCAAAACCACATAAACCACTCTCGCGCCCGCATCGAGCTAGAATCGTATTTAAAACATACATAAATCGAGTATTAATAGTCTAAGCATTTAGGCTATATTCCAGTGCTCTGGCTGTGCGTTCACGATATCTGTAGGTAGTAGAGTGTGGGCTCAGGGCTGGCATACCGAGAGTAGGACTATGACGTATGACGTGAGCTGAGTGAGAGCATCCGAGGCAAGGTGCACAGCCACGCCCTAGCCACACTAAGAGCCGTACCTAAAAACCACCACTCTCGCGCCCGTATCCAGCTAGAATCGTATTTAAAACACACATTAAGCGAGCATTAATTATCTAAGTATTTAGGCTACATTCCAGTGTTCTCGCTATGCTCTTAGGATATCTGTAGCTAGCAGGGTGTGGGCTAGAAGCCGGACGAGTGCGACCGTGGATTTCGGTGGGGTGCCAGGGGTCAGGTGTGTCGCTTCGAGCCTTGCCACGTGATTAGCCGCCTTTACGCTTTTCCTTAGTATTTAACTCTTAATTAAATAACTTTTTATTATTAGAGTATAAAACCTTAACTAAGATACCGAGCCGGCGAGTTCGCACGAGCCAGCGTAGCTGGTGAGGCGTGCTCGCAACATAAATAAATAAATAAATAAATAAATAAATAAATAAATAAATAAATAAATAAATAAATAAATAAATAAATAAATAAATAAATAAAATAAAAGATAATAAAATACAAGAAATTAGAAACTTATATATAATAAACTAGAAATCTAAATTCTAGACCTCTTACTTATATATAACCTCCTTCTTTTTTCTTCTCCTTTCTCTCTTTTTCTCTCTAGTTTTCACTTGAAAACCTAGCGTTCTCTCTCTTCCCCCACCCCCTCTCTCTCTCTCTATATATAAGAAAAAGGAAGAAAATATAGTCTTATTCTATATATAACGAAAGGAATTAGAATATAAGAAATAAGAAACCTATATATAATAAAATCTAAAGAAATCTAAAACTTTAAACCCTTACTATATATAACTTTCTCTTTTTTTCTTTTTCTCTCTCTAGTTTTCACTTGAAAACTAGTGTTCTTTTCTATATTTACAAGTATATATCTAAAAATAGAAAAAAGAAAAGCTCGACTAACTGAATGTATAACTAAAAGAAATTAATATATAATAATCGAAAGCTTATATATACCGACTTAATCTCAGCTCTCTAAACCAGGGGCCAGCCCCAGCTAAAGGTTCGTGGGATACACCACGTACAGGTGTCAAGTCTTCGTATCCCGTGTAAACCAGGAAAAACATTCAGGTTTAGGTAGACTCTTTCGAGTCCTATAATTAAGAGAAAGGGGGGGGATTGAACTCGCAATTTCTGAATTCTAAAGGTAAGGAAATAACAAAGGAAATCTAAGTTAGAGAGGAGGGAAGAGAAAAGAAATACACTTACTTCATCCAGACTTACCTCGCTTCAGAAACTCCAAAAACTCCTCCTCCGTAACGCCCATCTTGTCCAAAATCTCCTGATTCTCTCGTTCTAGCATGTACAGCTCGCGGGTGACGCCGTATGGATGTGCACTTCCCACCTCTTGAGTCGGCTGAGCCTGAGCCTGCGACGGCCCAGGAATGTCATGGAAGCGGATAGGCAGATTGAAAGATGGACTTGGTGCTGGTTCCTGAGTCGAGGGGTGTAGTTCGTCGTAGAGTCTCTTGTACGATCTAGGTGTCATCATTTCAAAACCCGGGTCGAGCTGGTTGGTATCTGTTGTTGGGTGTTTTGAGCGATACTTGTACCTGTTTGCTGTTTGGTTAGCGAGTTGTTAGCAAGGGGTTTGGATTGCATGTCGTTCCAGATTTCCTGCAGGAGAGGGTCTTCGAATTGCATGCCTTGAAGCTCTTCGACCTGCACGTCGTCCAGGGCAGAGTGTCCGAGATCCGGCAGAGGGTTTCCTATTTTAGTGTTAGTCAGAGTATCGTCGTTAGACAAAGACAAAGAAGAGCCACTCACCCCCGTATCCTCTCCTAGCATCACACCAGCGGGTAAAGGCTCAGGCGCAGTCCTATCCATAGCACGGATAAAGGCGTTTGCCTTCACGCCATCATCGCCCCATTCGGCCACCAGGGCCTGCTTTAATGCGCGGTAGTAGTGGGAGACAATTATGCGGGTGTAGTTTCGACGCAAAGGCAGGCCTCAACGGGTGACCTCCCAGGTCATCAGTTTTGTTATCCGCACCCAGTTTATTATGCCTTCTTCAGTTCCTTGCTGTGATAGTAGAGAAATCAGAAGTGCCTTTTCGAAGTCGCTCCAGTGTAGAGCCCTTCTTGTTGATGGTGTACCTCGCTCCCTCTCAGCCCGCACACGACGACTTTCAGTCAAGAAAGGCATAGGCGCAGTCCTATCCAGGGCGTCGATAAAGGTATCCGCCTTCACACCGTCATCGCCCCATTCGGCATAAAGCACATTTTGGAAACGCAAGAGGTATTGCCGGATTGACTTACCGCTGTAGACTCGAGGCAAAGGGATGCCTCGCTGGGTAGACTCCCTGTTCATTTGTGCTGCTACCCAGACCCAAGTTTCTTCTTTGCTTAACCTATCGACGTTATATGAGAGGGGGAGGGCCTTTTCGAAATCGCTCCAATGATACAAGTTTTTTGGCTCGTCATCTACCATTTCGTCAGCCTGCGCACGCAGAGACACAGGCGCAGTCCTATCCAAGGCAGCGATAAAGGTATTAGCCTTCACACCATCATTGCCCCATACCGCATACAGCGCATCTTTGTGATAATGGTAGTGATGATGGAGCGACGAAGTGCTATAGCTTCGACCCGTGGAGATGCCTCGAGCGTTGAGCTCCCTGATCATCTGTTTGGATAGCCATGACCAGGTTTCTTTGAGAGCCTCTTTTTTGAAGTGGTAGGAGAGAAGGAGGGCATTTTCAAAATCGTTCCAAGGTGTGCCCCGATCTGGTTTGTGTGTTGTTTGTGTTTGTGTTTGTGTTTGCTGTGAGTTCTCCATCGTTGCTGTTGCTATTGATGTTGATGATTTTGTATGATGATATGAAATTTCCAGGAAGGAAAAGTTCGCGAAATTTATGCGTCTTCGTGATTATTGTTTTGGGATAGAACAACATGTAGTCCTTCGAATTCCTCATCTCTTCACGGTGGCGTTTTCTTGTTTCTTATGTGAATAACAGATAGCACTGAACATTGGTTGCGAAGAAGTGAACAGGGAAATAAGCGACAAGGCGGGAGGAGTGAGTGGCTTAGGAATGGAAATGTTGAAGTGTATTCACGTGATATCCAGGGCTACAATTCCACACTCACAATCACAACAAAATCACATCGCCATCTCAACAAGATTCACAACTCAAATCCCATGTATTCCGTTTATCTACTTGTCCTGTCTGTCCTGTCTGTCCAGTACTGTATCCCTATCACTTTCCACGCCCCAAAGACCTTGAGCTGAGGAAACCATCCACCTACACTCTTCTATTCTAGTAATGCTGCCTGCACAAAACCGCCAAACACCAAAACACCTTGCAAACACCTCATCCCATGCCAAAAAGAAAAATGAAAATGAAGAAAATGAAAGAATGAATGAGCCCCAACCAGTAAGAAAAGAAATCTGGGTATATCCTCGATGCGAAAAAGAAGAAGACGAAGCAAAAGACCGTTCCGAATATCATAAAGACCGTTATGTGTGGGTAGAAACCCGGGTATCGTTCCCTGAACAGAAGAAAAAGAGAGACATCAAGAAAAAGAAATGAAATGAAAAGAACAGTAGACATGTGAAAGTGCAGAGAACGAGAAAAGGAAAACAAAGAATGTTATGTACAGAAAGGTGTCATTTCAATGTGAGAAAAAAAAAAGGAAAAAGCCAGTTCAACCAGCATGAGAAAATAAAAAAGGGGTATCAAATTTCGCCGTCCAAGTGTAATGTCGTTCTTTAAACGCCAAAAACCAACTTACCTGTTCCCTAACTTCAAAGAAAAAAAGAATGAATGAAGAACAAGACTCGTCAAGTCGATCTCAATCTCGAGGTGCTTGCTTATTCGTGGAAAGCCCGCGCAGCCCGGATGAATTTGGGGTAGTTCTGGCCAGCCTGAAGGAAAGGAGTGACAGCTGGCTTTGCCGCGGGAGTCTGCTTCGCCTGATCAGGAGCAGGAGGTTTCGAGGTCTGCAAGTTGTTTGGTGCGGAGTGAGAGGTTGTTGGCGCTGGACCTGTGCCGTTGGTTGGCGCGGGTCGTTGGCTAGGAGCCAAAGATGGACTCGTGGATGGCTTTGTTGGTAGAACACCTGGTGGGGGTGCAGTTGCGGTCATGTAGACTGTTACTGCCGCAGGTGTATACGTAACTGTCACCGTCTTGCAAGCTTCTTGACTCGAAGTTGGTAAGGTTGGAATTTCCTTTGGAGGCGGATTGGAGGCTTCTGGCTTTTTCGAAGACGATGGGGAAGGTGCTGTAGCTGGAGGAGCGCTAGGTGCACCGTCTTTAGGATCGTTTGGTCCTTTTGCTGGGTTGTTGGGGACATATGGTGTCAATTTGGACTCGAGAACAGGTTTGGCCAGAGGATCAGCAATGAAAGCCGAATCGAGCTGTGCCTTGATGGCCGTGTTTTCGACGCCTTTTCCTTTCGCAGGCTTGAAGTCGATTTTGTTTGTGGTCTTTTGCGAAGTCATGCTGATGTCCATACACGAAGTATACATCTCCTGATTCGCAACAGCTCCAGCGTCAGTCATTAGTGCGTAGTCCCAAACCCAGTAAAGGGTGTACAGTCCATCAGTTCCAGCGTCCTCGGGAAGTTGGACATCAGTTTGGCAAAAAAGTCTGGGCATTCCTTCTTGGGCTGCCTTACGCTGGACAGCTATAGGATTTCCAGAGTCCTCGTGACATTGTCCATCATCGTAGAACCGGGTTGCGAGTAGTTTGCCGCGCTTGTCTCCACCATCTCCAGCTGCATTCCACTTTTTATGGATGCCCAAAAGAGTGTCGGAGTTTAACGAGTTCTTAGTGCCGTAAACATAGATCGTGCCATTTCCTGCTGGCCGTGGGCCCAGAGGTAAGGTAACATGGCCGTTGTCAGAGTATTTGATAGCGACCCAGTCCGTAGGAGCTGCTTTGAGTAAGGGCTTCCCAAATTGTTTTCCAACTCCTTGGTCCCCCCTATCACCTGTTTGTCTGCACATTGGACTTCTGTCACTGATCTCTGGCCCTGTGAAGCGGTTCGTCATGAGCCTATCGTCAAAGCCTGCGTCAGTTCTGGCGATGTAGCCTCGCATGAAACCTTCGGGTCCAGTAAAAGCTCCATTTGAGCCAATCAGTTGTAGCGCCTCTACCCATGTATGTGCTTGACTTGGAGTTACGCAGAGTAGAAGCGCAAGAGCTGCCAGCTGTGAGGTGGCGAAGAGTGAGGTTCTCATGTTGTTGTTGTTGTATATGATGTGGTTGAGTGGTGTTGTTACCCGCCTGCGAGTATGTGGTATGAAACAGTGATGTATTTTGTCTAGATTCGTCGTTGCGGTATGTAATAGTTACAAAAGTTTGTGTACAAAAGTAGAAGAGGTACGAAGCTCAAGGCAATGATGAACTATTATAGTATGGCGTGAACAATGGGATGATTCAGCGCTGCTGAACAATAGAACAGAAAGTGTGATTGAGAACAAACGTATTGTGAATCGGCTAGCGTGCCGTTTGTCACAATACAACTCGACAATGGCTCAAAGAAAGGAATAATGGATGACAAGAATAGACGACAAAGGCCGAGTCTTAAGAACAAAGAGATCATGTAAAATTACGTGTGGCGCCAACGAAGCGCAGCTTTCGAGTAACTGTTCTTTGGTGGAAGGCCGCGTTGAAACATCGACCTCCACCACTGCCACGGGGACCATTCCAGGAAACAAACGGTCAACGATTGCCGCGCTGCACCTTGAGGACTCGCACATGATGCACATGTACCTGCCTATGAGCTGGGTATCCAGGTTGACGATAGCGGGGAGGTCGAGACTTGAGAGCTTCCCCCTTGGAGCTCGATGGCCTATCGCGGGAGCTTAGCGAGATTCTGGCAGTTTCGTCTTTTGTTGCTGGCGGGGGCCCACGCACTCAATTTAGGCTCACGAAGGCTCGCCCAAGCTTGCCTTGTGGGGAGTTGCACTGAGTGCTCCAGGGTTGGCACGCGACACCGCTTGGCGTCCCCCATCAATGTCAAACGACAACCAGTCAAAGCTTGGTGACCAGCAAAGTTGAGATGCAACCGCTGGCAGACGCCCGACGATTCGAACACAAAATAGTGTCCCTCAGAAATCTACTCAACCGACTCACACTACGTACTCTTGCCTGCATGAGCCAAATGAACGATCATGCTTCTGGTTGCATCGAGGGCCAGCTATCCACTGGATTAGCTGCCTTGCACGGTGCGTAGCGCATTTTTCTTCCACTCACGCGGCACTCAACACGCCGGCCCGATCACAGGTGGAAGCGCTCTGGTGGAGAAGATTTGATGTACGGTTGAAGCTATCTCGGCGCTACAGTACTACATCGCCCTTGCGAACCCGATGACCCGACCATGGCCTTGGGACTTGCTGGAGGGGTTGCTTGGTTCTCGAGATTGTATAGCCCATGCCTTATTTGAACATGGTCATCTATACTCACTACACCCCAAATACTCCGTAGCCAGGTCGCGGCAATCGACTCACTCACTCGAGAAGTACATCCCTAGCAACTTAACAGACGCCCAGGAGGGGGAAAGAGGGTCCGATAGATGGCGCCATCAAGCTTTCCTAACCAGGAACTTCCTTTACGTCCGCGGATCACGGAGATCGGTCTTCTAGGGCCAGGCTTGCATGCGGTTCCGTGCGGAGACAGAGACGGAGCCGGTCTGGAAGAATGTACAGCACGAAGTAGCATCAACGCGTGAAACTATTTCCAGTAAACGTGCCGTGGAAGAGCAACAACCGTCCAACGGTCGTCCTGATATGGCCTCGAACAATCTAGCACACGGTTGTCTGTGCAGATTCCGTGCCTTGAAGATTTTGGCAGAGACCCACGATGTGTTGACGAAGGGGTGGAAGATGCATATGGTGGGGAGGGTGATACAATGATAATGAGGTCCATTATGTTTCGAGTTGGTCATGTTGCTCGTGTTCGTGACGTTTGTCACGAAGATGGGATGACAGGATCATGGTAGTCGTGGTGGTACCACTACTACTCGAAGGCCTTAGCGGGGTTCGAGAGAGTTGTAGGGACTCGCTGTGAGGTACACGACATGCTGTTTCGATGGTAAAATACGGAGATGTGAATGTGTGGATTTCTGGGAGGCCGAACTAAACAACTGGAGAGCGACCACTGAATAGAGTGCCAAGTCACTAGCCGATTTCTTTGTCATCTGGAAATCAAGTTTCTCTTTCACATTTATTCCAACCCACCGCATTATTATTCACCCCAACCATATCTCACCACAACAAAGATGATTCTCATTCTGTCTTCCAACAAATGACATTGTCCTTGCGAGAACAAAGACAGCCTCGGAGTTTCGAACTCTCGATGCCTCTAAGTCTCCTATCGCCCTCAGCTAGAGAGGCCGTCGCTTCTCCTCCTTATTCACAAGCCAAGTTCAATCAGATTCATGCCGATGAGCTGGGAGAAGCAAAGCATCCTTAGTCCGAAAAATCGGATTCTTTTCACGCCGAGATCAGATATCCGAGCTCCTGTCATCTTGTTTCCCATCTCCCTCAGTTTCAACATTATACTCCAGATTCATCTGAAGTGTAGTCTACAACCTCAGCAGTGCACAGTACAGTAAGAACCATGGTCTTTGCTTGTGAAAGCAACCGCATCGCCATCACCGCTTCAGATGATCTCCCGACGTCCCTAAAGACTCCAAGTCGTCGTGTTTCAAGTTTTGAAAACCCAACTCGTCTAGCCTAGCTTCTGGCCGCATAGACCGACTTCATTGGCTCCGAGTAATCTACACCAGCATCGCATACTATCGACCCAAATGATCGCCCAGACAAGCATTTCAATATTCCGAATTCATTGGCTGGGCGTCGTCGAGATGTGCATTTTGAGTTTTGTTTCTATTTCCAACTCCGCTAATAATCAGGACATTGCGTCAAGCGATAAGCGTATATTTAAAGGGACCAGACATCTCGCGTCGCCACTTCCCCCTTATAATAAAGTGTTATAGGAAGGTATACCCCACATATAACCTTTCAAGCCAATTGAAATCTCATTCATATAGAGGTATCTCCTAGACGGGTAGGTCATTCTTTTGACCAGGATTTAGAACCCCGATGTTTTTTATACCAAATAGTAGAAATCGAGGGATGGGGTGCCGAGGCCCCGTACAAGGTCTGACTGTTATTCTACAGTAACGAACCCTGTTTCAGCAAACGGCCAGAACTTGACTGGGACTTTCTCTCCTCACAGTTACAGTCATATCTCATGATGAGTAGACAACAAGGAAAACTTGCTCAGCTTGCATTTTACTCACTCTTTATTTGAGTCAGGTTCGTCACTGGGTGGATCTTGATGCTTCTAGAAGGTCTGCGGATTAGTGTCCTGTGGCTGAACGGATCTCACGTGGTCTTGCTTCGCGACCAACTACGAAACCCGTGGACGATAATATATAATATCTATATCGACCGGAAATTCTAGGCTTACCTCGTAATAGACGTATATATCTCAGTCTTCTATTATATCTTTACTCGCTATTATTAGTATAAGATATATAGTACAAACTAATTATATCTCCTACCTCCTAGACTATAAGTAATAGATCTAATAAAATAACCTTTCTTTTTACTCTAAAATTTTAAATATGTCTTATTTAAGGAGCCGTTTAGCTTAACAAATTTAAAGATATACACCATATAAAAAGAATTATATATATATTATAATATATACGATATATATATATTATAATATACGCTACTATTTAGATAGAACTAATTATTTTAGTCTAATTTAGCTATAAATTCGTTATAAATCTACGTATAAATATTTTTAGATTTATACTACTAAAATAAGATATATAAAGATATAGAACCTTTAAGGTTGTGACGGAGCTGGATTTCATTTGACAGGATTTCATTCGCTTGGCCAAGCACGTGACGAGACTTGGCATTGGAACAACTTAAATAACTTCGCTCCTTTCAGATTCTCTTCTCTCTTTAGTTTGATTTCTTCGTACCTACGGTTTTAGTTCTAGCAATTGATTCAAAAGCTGTATACACTTTATCCTTTGTTGGCATCCGTGACAAAGGTTCTATATCTTTTTCTTTTATATAAATCTCCTTATAAATCTTTTAATTCTACGTCCTAGGTACTAAAACCTAGTTAGATCTACCCGCCTTACTTAGCGGCCCCTTAATAAATACCTTATATATTACTATGATATATTAACGTAGTCCACAAGCGAGTTGGATTCCCAAGCGAAATGGATTTTTTTTCTTGGCATTTTATAAATTCTTAAATATCTCACGACACAATTAATTAAATTAATTACAGTATTCAGAATCGGAATCCTCACATATTTCTTCTCCTTTTTGACAAGTTCGTATATTATGGCCATGTTTCCCACATAGTCCACAGCGCCGGCGAGGTACTAGACTCGGGCTCGTACAATTACTATTTTCTACTAAAACC